AAAAATAAAAACATTTTTTAAAGAGATGAGAATGTAGCTTAGTGGTAAAGTACCCTGAGTTGTTCTATCTCCAGTAACACAGAGAGAGAGACAGAGAGAGAGAGAGAGACAGAGAGAGAGAGAGAGACAGAGAGAGAGACACAGAGAGAGAGAGAGAGAGAGACAGAGAGAGAGAGAGAGAGAGAGTGTTAAGTGATCACTATATATTCTAATAGAAATACTTAATCAGAGTAACACTGAGAGCAAGGAGAAAAGGGTGAGCAGAGGAGAAAGGAACAGAGAGAGAAAGAAAGAAAGAAAGAAAGAAAGAAAGAAAGAGGGGAGAGAGAGAGGAGAGAGGGACAGAGAGAGATTGATTGATTGCTCTGGCTCTCGTTCTTGCGCAGGGGCCATGCTACTCTTCTCTGTATCGTTCCAATTTTAGTATATGTGCTGCCGAAGCGAGCACCGGCTCTAGTTCTTGAACTACTAACTGGCCGTGGTAAAATCACTTACTCTATAGACCAGGGCCAGCAAAGTTTTTCTGTAAAAGGCCAGTTAGACTATACTGTGGACTCTGTAGGCTATATGGCCTCGTGCCACTGTTCATCTGCATCGTTTTAGCATGAAGACAACCGTGGACAACATGCAAATGTGTGCGCGTGGCTGTGTTCCAATATAACTTTTCACGTCCAAACGCAGGTGATTGGCAGGACACTCTTCTCTCACAACTAATAACCTTGGATATTATATATAAAACACATATAGGAAGATTCAGAAAGCGGGAGGCGAGTAGGTATGCCAGACAGAGACTTCAGACTGAGATGAACCTGGCAACCTGTAAACGCTACTAGGTATAAACTAACACAGCCCCAACAAAAAGCCGGCTAGCAAGATCAGTAACCGTGAGGCAACTAGTCTAGCTACACACCCCAGAAAACCGCGCCACCCCACGCCAGGAAGAAATGCCTAGACCCTGCTCCGCACCAGCTCTTGCTGGAAGCCCCTGTGCCCCAGCGCTGTCACAGAAGGCAAGTGCTAAAGGAACAAGGAGCCCGTGAGATCCGCGGCAAAGCCAAGCTGCTAAGTTAACAACATGAAACGAAAACAGAATAATTATGGGCACAGCAGTAATCCTACAACTCAAAAGAATTACAACAGTAACAAAGTGAGACAGATACTTATCTTATTGGTAGGGGGTTAAACTAACATCTCTCCTCCCAATCCCCACTACAGCAGTAAGTACTCAGAAATACATCAGGCCTTGCTTGGCTTTTCCTTCATTTTCCAGCATTCCCAGCAACAATATAAATGGCCAGTGTTACAGCGAGTATGACAAGCTAGTCTTATGGAAAAATCAAGCTGAGTTATGGCTTCAACAGGGAATCAGAGTATAAATAACTTCCAGTCATATCTGAGAATTAAAACCAAAGTAGGCACGGCTACAGTCCATGATCATACTATTAAATACAAGTTTTACAGAGAACTTACATAGTGGAGACTCAGGTAGGAGGAGAATAAATTAAAATGAGATTAAAGATTAAGTGATGAAAATTTGACAAAAAACAAGTTGAAAAAAATATTTCCAGGTTCATGGACTTTGTGAGTTTATTTATTGAATACTAGTAATATGTTTTATCACTTTTGTCTCTAAATCTTTACTATGTATTAGTAAAAGAAGATTGATGTATAACATTTTATGATAAAAATATAAATTAGGATAACAAAGCAGATTTTTTTTTTTTTTTTTTTTGTATTTAGTACAGGGTCTCACTTCACAGAGTGGACTCATAGTGATCCTTCTGTTTTCCACTTCCCAAGGGCTGGAATTACAGGCACTTGTGCCACCACACCCAGTCTCAATTGCCATCTCAGTGCGTCCCAGGGGCAGGACCAGCATGGCACGCCAGGAATTGAACCCTGGCCCCTGAGTCTGCCTAAGCAGGTGCTTTAATCTGCTGAGCCATCAAAGCAGATTTTTAAATATCTAGAAATATAAAAAGGATACAGCATCCATTGCTATGAGATGAAACCTTCTATTTCTTGCTTCTTCCCTGCTCAAAAGTAAAGTTTATCTTAAGTACATTCAAATGTCTACATTTTAATTTATACAGTCAAATCCCCTAGTCTTTGAATTTATACAAAATCTTAAACCAAAGAAAGCAATTTATATCAAAATATCATACCTATCCAGTAATTCTGCTGCAACTTGCTTAGTGGCCATCTTTCCATGCTTTTCTTTCTGAAATGGCTTTTGGAGTAACAAGTCATCTTCAATTTTCCTGGTATATTAAAAAGAAAAATTATTAAGAGTTAACTTTTCTTAAAGGTTGTTTCCTAATTCTTTGCATTTCCATAATTGAGTACGTTTTAAACAATGGACCATTTCACTATTGAGCTACATCGACAGCCAGAATTCTTAACTTAGAGAAGACATACTAACCTTTAACAAGCCATTTTACTTCTCTTTACTTTCATTTAATAACTACAAAATGGAGAAGAGGGAGCAGGCATCGGTGGTCACACCTCTAATCCCACTGTTTGGGAGGCTAACGCAAGAAGATCACAGTATCAAGTTACAAGCCACTTGTAAAAATTTTTTAAGTAAGCCACTTAGCTAAAATTTCAAGCTAAACACTAGAAAGAACTGGGAATCTAGCTAGGAGCAGAGGACCTGGGTTCAATCCCCAGTGCCAAAAAACAAAAAAGTAAAACAAAAATATAATAACAGAAAAGATAAACAATGAAATGCATGATTTTGATGTCATACCTCCCAGTTTCCTAGCTCAAATCCTGATTCAACCATTTACCACCTTAATCTTCATCTTAATATAATTAACTTATTTATAATTTTCTGTTTGTAAATTAAAGATAAAGACACTTTTGGAAGAAGAAAAGCTGATTATAGAAGATGTAGACCACAGATGGTCAGCCTTAGTTATGCAGAGAAACATAACTCTAGAGCAGAACACCCAACTAGATGTGCTCATCTTTTACTCTGTACAAAGTAGTATCTTTGACTAAAAATCTAGAAAATATAAAGCTCTTTGGTTATCTGTGAAGACTGAGTATCATAAAAATGCTCAGTCCTACAGGGGCCAGGACTTTGATCCCCAGGCCTGCCAGTGCCAGCCCTGCTCCCAGGGTGTGCTGAGAGGATGCCTGAGATCGGCTGTGGTGGTGCCTGTAATCCCAGCATTTGGGAGGCTGTAAACAGGGGGATCACTAACGTCCGATCTATGCAGTGAGACCCTGTACACCCTTGTCCTAAATACAAAGAACAAGAGTTCAGTCTCAGCATCACACTACGTTGCTCTCATAGTAAAATAATAAACCTATTGCTGTTAGACTGGCTAGTATGAATCATCAACCACTGTTAATAGATAAAATCAAATTTCTTCCCTAAGCAGACAACTCAGCCAAGATGAGGCCTCTTTATGATACTCAAGCTGATGTGCTGTCAGTTCTTATCCCTTTCAATTCAGTAAAACCTTCCCTGAGCTTCTTCCTTTCACTTGTTCATCCATGTAAACGTGAGAATCAGCTTGCATTACATCGCATCCTCCATACTAACCTTGAAAGAGAGCACCAACCAAGCCCCTTCCAAGCTATGACACTTCCAAGCACAGTCCAGAGAAACCTGAAATCTATAATCTTTCCTTTTTCTTTCCTGTTCAATAAATCCTTTCCCAGCACAAATTTATTTTTCCCACTTTTCTCCAATTTTGAATCAATTTAGTATGGCTTAGTGAATAAAAATTAATTCACTAGGGCAGTTGTCTTTACATAATACAAGCAGAATCTAAAACCTTTCAATATTATTTATTTATACATCATAACAATCTACAAAGGATGCAAAAACAGATCAATAAAGTTACTTACCTTTTCTTCTTTCTGCTGGACTCTCCATGTTCATCATCACTAAAATCAGAGTCATAGCCTCCGTGACCGTGCATCTATCTGCAAAGGTGACCACTACAGGGTTCAGCAGTGCTTCACTTTTGTTGGACTCAGATTAATAACAGCTACTGTGTACAGTTATCCCACAAAGATGTCTCAGTCAATGGCAAATTTTTATATGTGGAGAATGAGATTGTAATTTAGTCCCATGAGATTATAATGGCACTGGAAAAATGTCCATTGCCTAGAATTTTTTATTGTGTCTTTTTCTATGTTCAGGTACACAAATACCATTTACTACAAATGTCTAAGTACACGGTGTGCAGGTTTATATCCTAGGAGTAACAGACTATTGTCTAGAGCCTAAGCAGACTATACCATTTAAGTCTGTGTAATATATGCTGTGAGGTTCTCACAGTGATGAAACTGGTGACAGTACTTCTTGGAGTGTATCCCTATCATTAAGATGTACACGACTATACCTAACACCAGTATTGTTCCAGACACTGCACCAAGTACTTTGCAAGCAATGCCTGTGACTCTGAAGTTTGGCGCTGTTAGCTCCATTCCACTGATGAAAAAGATCAAGGACATATGAATTAAGTAAAGCCATTTTATAAAGCAAATAATCAGCTAATCTGATCTACTCGATTTTTACACCCACTTTCAATTATTCCAAATTGCTTCTCTGGAATGATTAGCTATATCCTATAGGCATTACAATATTTGTGATTTGTACACTAACAATGAGTGAAATTTGTACTGCTACCTTTTTCAACATGTCAAGATTTGTACTTCAAGTTTATTCAAGATAAACTACCTTATTCTTTAGCTTAGTCAGTTTTATCTTGTTTCAACTATTTTAGAAGTAGCAGTCTCAGAAATACTGAAAGAACTCAGTTGTCAATTGTGTCGGAAGAAACTCCAGGATTACACTGCACTTGGGACACAGCTAATGTGGACTGAAACCCTACGCTGGCTTACACCTTCCAGAGATGTGCTGGTCCTACACCCTCACTTTCCTCCTGTCTTGATGGTGAAAGATCATGGTTTGGGCTTGGCTTCGGGTTCCAAACTCAGTCTACCAGAAGTCAAGCGCGGCTCGGCACTCTGGCTTGTCTTCCTGCGGGCTTCTTCCCCCCAACCCCCAGCCCCTCTGGCCCCGTTTGCCCATTAATTAAATAAGGTTAATAAAACGGCAAGCCTCACTGAAGAA